TGTTGTTTTTTTCTTAATTCTATTTCTAAGTTCAATGTCATTGTTGTTTTGAAATATTATAATATGAGCTATTTTTAATGTTTTATATTTTCGCTGCTCGCTTTTTTTCAGTCTAAATAATATTCTAATGTTTTGGTATCCTATTACAATGTAATCTTTGAAATCTTCTGTATCTGAGAATTCTTGGGTGCTGCAATCCTCGAAGTCTTCTGTGTCTGTGTATATTTGGATACAATCCTCAAATTTTTTCTTTTTGTTTTTCCTTTTCTTTGTTTTTTCTATTTCTTATTATTCTGCTTAGATTTATTCTGTTTGGGGTACTGTAAATTCTGTTCCTTATTGTCGTCGATCGTCTAATTGTTGGTGAAAGTTGTAGTACGGTGCCTCTATCCACTTGTGTGCTATTTCTTCTATTCCTCATTGTTGATTATCCCGCATCTTCCTGTTTTCTTTCTATCCAGGTCGGTAATGTGGCTGCACTTGAAATTTCTACATCCTGATTGTTATCAGTCTCTTTGATTATTGTTTCTTGTTCTGGCTCTTCCGTGTACTCATTTTGTTCGTCAGGTTCTTTCCCGTAGTACCGTTTTAGTCTATTAATGTGTACTACTTGTGATGCTCTTCCACTTGGCGGTAATACTCTATAGGTGACTGGTCCGATTCTTTCCATAATTTTGTATGGTCCGATCCATCTATTCCTTATCTTCTTTGAGATGTCCACCTTGCTGCTAACGTCTAGTAAGTATGTCAGATCTCCCACTTGAAATTCTCGTTCTTGAGTGTTCTCGTTAAACCTTTGGACTCTGTTTCCTTTAGCTCTTTCTGTATTTACTTGTACTTTTTGGTAGATATCTTTTAATCTGGCTTCTAATTCTGACACGTAGTTATCTCTTATGTCGTATTTCGTCCTTTTGGGTCAGATACATTCGTCTATTGGTAGTTCTTGCTCTCTTCCGTGTAGTAGAAAGTATGGGCTGTATTCTGTTGATGTATGGATACTGCCTCTGTAAGCCATTAGAACATATGGTAGCCATTGGTTCCAGTCTCTTTGATTTGGTGATATGTAGTGATAACATATCTTTTATCACTCTATGCATGCGTTCTTTTTGCCCATTTGTCATCGGTAGGTAACTGGATGTGTGGAGTCTTCTTATATTCAATAATTTGCAGGTTTCTTTCATTACATCTGATAAGAAATTTGCTCTTCTGTCAGTGAGTAGTTTCGTCGGTGTTCCATGCCTACATACTATTTGTTCGATGAATGCTTTTTCTATTGTTTGGACCTTCTGGTCTGGTAGTGGTATCGCTTCGCAGTATTTTGTAAAGTGGTCTTGGCATGTCAGGATGTATTTTTTTCCATTATCTGACGTCCAACTATGTCCATTGACGGGATTTCCCATGGTTGTGCTACAGCTGTGAATTTCTGTAGCGGGGCTTCCTTCATGTGGGGTGACGTCTTCCTTCTATTGCAGTATCTCAAGACATCTTTTTAGATGAATGGCCAGAAAAACCTCTTCTTAATGGATAGTAGCATCTTTTGTTGACCTTGTTGGCAGTATAATGGGGTATCATGAAAGTCTTCCATCACTTTCTTTATTAACTTCTTTGGAACCATTATTTTGTCTTGTCCTTCTCTATTGTTTTGTTGGTATGGTATTCCCTCTTTGTCTATGTAATCCTTGTTTGTCATGTCTTCTTTTTGGATAATTATCTTACAGTACTCGTCTCGTCGTTGTGCTTCTTTTAGTGAGTCTCTGTCCCATGTTGGTTCCCAATTTTTTTCTTCGTGTACATTTATTGCATTTATCTTATTTTCTTTTTGTGTTTTTGTGATTATATATTACGGAATGAAATATCTCCGCTCTTAGACACAGAAACATATTTATTTTCTAAGAGAACGACTTGCAAGATCCTATTTAATTTTATAGTTTTTAAAACAACACCCTTTACGCATTTTCTAGATCAGCACTATTGTATAATTTATAGTACACTAATTTATATAGACAGTTTATCATTACACAATAAAATCTATCCATCGACTGTATATCGACAAAGTTCAGCTATTTTATATAGGAGTTGTGCCATTCCAGGCTGCTCCTTGTTTACGACTGAAAATTTGATATCAGATGGTTCTATTTTAGGTTAGGTGCTCGACTTTTTATTAGCATTAGAACGAGCAGTGTCATTTTGAAACTTTTCAGATAATTTGTTAATGAAAATTCTTAGATAATATTTAAATTGAAACTTTTAAGTTTCCATAAATTATGGCATATTAAGTTTATTTTTTCGTGTTTAGAGTAAGGTAGATTTAAACTTGCCAAAAGTCATCAATAAATTGCGAGAAAACTTGCATTTATATTTGGAAGGTTACAATAAATGAAAGCCAATTTAAAAAATCGTATTTTGGTCTTAAAAGATAACAAAATCAATTTTAAATAGGTACCAGTTTAATTTATTACATGGCGTAGTCAGTAGGATAATCAATTAACTCCAAATTAATAAAAATAACATCCCTACAACATAATACGCTTGGCAGACAAGCGTAAAACCAAAAATTCCTACGCGGGAAATGGATGAATGTTTCCCAATAGGTTTTCGCTTTCTACCTTTCCACAAATAAATCATGAACTGTCGCGCATCGGATCCACCGTTTTTTTTTTGCGTCGGCCCAAATCCAACAATGAACATCGCATACGAACGAATGGACTCGCGAAATCTGCGAACGGCCCTTTTGTTACAAAAAGCGCCAGGGCAAATTATTTCCCCTCCACAGCCACTAAATAAAAATCTACTGTACATACATGAAAAATGTTTTTGTTTGGTTCATTAATGATTGATGACTGATCGGGAACATGTGATGTCTGTTAATAATGGATTTTATTGGTGGTGGTGGCGGTAGAAGAATAAAAATCGTTTAGAGATATTTCATTTTGACTTACTACTTGTATTGGAAGGATGATTAGTATTGTAAATTCCTCATTATAAACTAAACAGGGTCGTATTTTGATGTTCGATAGCTAATAGTGAATTGTACGAATTTTAAAAATACAATTTGGGCTTATCTACCACCATTGAATCTAATGGGAAATAAAGAAAAAGAAATGTAAGAATATCATAAATAAACTACTTTATTTTATAAAATAAAACAATTATATTTAAAACATAAAGATCGTATTGTAATATCAGATAGAACAGTTCGTTTCTGGTTCGTTTACCAATCAATGCTTACCAATCAATCCTGACCATATATTCGTTAACATCAACCAGTCATCTTAATGTGTTTCGTCAAAATATCCCATAAATAATGTCTTAAGTTTGTTAAAGTGTCGTATTACACAGCATCGTTGTTGTTGTAATCGTCGTCGTCATATTTCTTACAGAAAAACTTTCCAGAAGGAGTTCAGCTTGTATTGCGATATTGCGATACTTATTTTTAATATATGTGTTCTGTGTAGGCTTTTTCGAATCATTTGAATGATGTTGGTAATAGCTAATAAGCTAATAAGACGATAAGAACTGAAAACGGTTTTCTAGGCTTAGGAATCATTACAATCTTAACAAACTTCCATAAGTAAAGGAGCAGCAAGAGTTCTAAAACAAGCCCCATGTTAAATCCCATAAGAAATCGCTAAGGTGAAAAATAGCAAAAAACGTAAATATCAAGGTCACGCGTCGAGAATCGAAGTCTGGCTTATCAGTAAATATGATAACGTTAGATAGAATCTTGGACACCAATGCTTTTTAAATGGAAAACGTGTAGTTCACTCTGGACAACAGAGTGCTGGTGTGAACATTTAAGTAAAGATTGGACAAATATTGTTAATAATTTAAATGCGAGAAAGTTATTTGTAATAGGGTAAAGTTAACATTGGACAATGAAGTTTTTACAGTAACTCAATGAGTTTCAAAATTGTCTCAGTAGACTGGAAGAGTCTTAATGTCTTAATACCTTAAACTAATAATTCATTACCCCCACCACCAAGAGTTCTGCACAGGATGGCATACGAGAAGTTCTAAAGCAATTTACCAAGAAAAGACGAAAAATAAAAATACGATTGAACAAGTAGAACTTCTCGTATGCCCTCTTAACCTAAACTTCATTTACGTGAACGCATGTCGCAACGACGCTTACTCTTACATCACGTTCGTTTTTCTATATTATGATCTGTGGTTTGGATATCTTTTGTGTGGACCTCTATTCTTGTCAGGGCGTTTGCGTTAGTGATGAATTTTCTTGTTTTATAGACTACTTCGTAATCATATTCTTCTAGTCGAAGCCAATATCTGACTAGCTTCAAATTTGTTTTTTTTTTTAGTGAAAATAGATATTGGAGGGGTCGATGATCTAACGAGATTTTGAACTTTCTCCCAAATAAGTAAGGTCTGAAGTATTTAATGGCCCACACTATCGCAAGCATTTCCTTCTCAATCGTAGAATATTTTATTTCTGTCTCGCTTAATGTCCTAGATGCGTAGGCGATTGGTTTATCTCTTCCAACTGGGCCTTGAGATAGAATGGTTCCAGTAGCAAAGTTGCTTGCATCCATTGTGAGGTTAAAATGCTTTGTAAAATCATGATACTGAAGCAATGGTTCGTTGGTCAGAAGGCTTTTGCAGGTGATAAAACATTTGAGAAACTTTTGGGTATGTTCGATCTAGGAGTCCTTTTTTAAACATTTGGTCTACATCTTTGTAATCCTAGCAAAGTCCTTGATAAATTTCTGATAGTATCCAAGGAGGCCTAGGAATCAACGAATCTCTTTGGTTGATTTTGGAATAAGGTAGTTGACGATGGCTTGAATTATTGTAGGATTGGGTTTTATCCCACTTGGAGCGACGACATGTTCTAAGAAATTTACTTCTTTCTTTAGGAACTCGCAGTTGTCTATTTGATTTAGGAAGGATTTGGTTGATCCAGTGTCTATAAGAAATTTAATAAGGGGTTCAGAAATTTCGATGAAGGGGAGTTTCTTTTTTGTCGGAGAGAGAGTGGAGTTCGATTATATTTCGGGGTTTACACTTGGGTCTTCTTGAAAAACTTTCTCTTCTTCATATTGGTATTCTTGTTCTTCTGTGAAAAATTCTTGGTTGTAACCAGCGTTTTCTTCAAAAGAATTTTCGTCATATTGTTCGATGTTATAGAGCTCTTCGAAAGTGAATTTTTGTTGAGGTTGTTGGGGCCTTGGGTTCATTGGTCGATTTCTATTCATTGCTGTTGTTGATATACTCATAGATGTTTGCTTGGGTTTTCCCGATGGGCCAGGTCTTGGTAACCAAGCGATTTGTTGCTGCGGTGGTCTAAATATTGGAGGTCTCAAATCTGTTCTTGACTGGTTAAAGAATAGCTTTTGGTAGTTCTGGAATGATGAGTCGACAGGTCAATGTTCTGTTACTAGCACCATAGTCTTATTCTGTAGTGATAAGATCGTAACCAACTATTTCGTTTGGTGAGAAGTATTTGATAGGGAATGACATTTTTTAATTTTCCTGTTGTTATTGTTTATGGCAGGTTCATGGTGTATAAAAATCTGAACAAGATATTTAGCAAACGTGGTAATTTTTCTAAGTCACTTTTGGCCCATGTCCTATTAGTTTTTCTTATAGGTGGTATTGATACTTGAGGACTTAAACTTTTTAATGGCCTTCTAGATAGTATGCTCTTCTTTATTAAAGTTTGTTAAAGATTGTTCAAAGGAATCATTTCTTGCATTCACTATTATATTGTGGAGTTTTAACCGCTTTATGTAATTATATCATCGCTGTTTCGTGATTTTTCGGACCAATTGGCAGATATGTAGTGGTATGCTAGATGTGTCTATGGTTTTTGGGTTTACTGACTGAGTTAAATGCCATGTTATTCGTTGGATTAGTGTGGTAAAATACTGAGGTGACTGGTCCAGTTCGCTAGAGTCCTTTATTTTTATGTTCAGATTTCTATGTTTATCTAAGTAAGTATGAACCATCTCCCAATTTGTCCCATTTGTGATAAGCGTTGGTATATATGGTTTAATTGTAATATGTGTGCTTAATAACAGGGGTATAGTCAGAGGATAACTCATAATTTGGTTTAATCTGAATGTAATTTGCTGTTACACCACTGTGAATAAGAAAATCTAACAAATCTGATAGTCTATTAGGGTTGGATGGCCAATATGTTGGGGTGACAATTAAAATGTAGTCACAATTTAGCATATTACCTGTCTGGAGTATATTTCTTCCTTATGGTGTTACCAGTCTTGATCCCCATTGTGCATGTGAAGCATTCCAGTCTCCACCTATCACGAGTTTAGATCCTTGAGATTCAAAAACTCTTTGACGTTTGCAGCTTGAATTTTATTAGTCTGGTGATGGATGAGCTCGTGATGGAAGATTGTTTTGCGGATTAGCACGGCTGCACCTCCGTGTTCTCTATCATCTAGGTAAGATACGTGATAAACATAAACATGGTTGTAAGGTGCGTTTCTGATATTAGAGTAATATCGATTTTGTCCACCTGCAGATTGTTAGTTTATGGTTGTTTAGCCCATTAGTGTTCCAGAGAAAAATTCTCAGATTATCCAATTTAAGGCAATTTTGGTAATGACAGTGCTAAGCATATTTAATACCATGGCTATTCTGGTTTATAAGCTGGTGAACATTGCCTTAAATTCATTTAGGAAAATAGTTAGTTGTTCCATTATGGTAATTGGTTGAGAAACAAAACTAAAATAGTTTTTTCTTGTTATTCCATTGACCACAGAAATAACGTCACTGTCTTCTTAATGATCTAGGTAGTTATTTTCAACGATCTACTCTAATTTCCAGAATATCTTTCCCATTATCTACATTTTCTTTGTAGGGTCACGTAGTATACGAATATGCCCCTCGTATCTAATCCAGCTTAACGATTCGGAGCCTCCAAGTTCGATGTTAGAGAAAATTATGTAATGTTTCGACTTTTGTCCTCGGAAAGCCGAAACTAAATGAACGTAGCACGGAACATTTTAAATAACCATTATCCAAGTTTGTATGGTCCCGTGTTCGAGAATAATGTTTATTATTTTCGGTGGTTTGGAGAATGAATGCTACCGCGAAGTTTTAATAGGTTTTCGGTAGAGTTGTTATTATATTCTAAATTATAATGTTTTGGTTAGGAACTGATTAACTAGCTGATTGTTGTTTTTTTTGTTTTATTTATTTATGACCATTTTAATTATGTATTGTGAAACCATTTTTTTTTCGTCTGACATTAAGGGTAGTTTAATTATTCGATGGGCCCTTGACGGTTTTCTAACAGTTGCTTACATGCAAGTGTTAAATTATTAGGGCTCGTTGAAGAACAAAACAAAAGGTATTCGACCATCAATTGAAACGTAAAGCTTAACAAACATCAAAAAAGAAATCATCGATGTTAATTAAAAACATCAATGTTAACTAATAACATCGGATAAAAAAACATCGATGTTAACTTCGAAAATCGAAACCGAAAAATGGATGTTTTTTAAATCTTAATTTGAATATTAAGTACATCTAAAAATTATTTTCCGACGCTAATGCTAGACTCTACGTGTAACAATAATAATTAATTTATTTCATTTTGTTTATTATTACCTTAGATAAAAGAGACCAGAGATATAACATACACCGGTTTTAAACCTGCGCAAATGTTGCCAATTTCTAAAGAAGGGTTAACGGAGTGGGGGAACTGGGCGGCGACACGCGGCGACCCGAACTCTGTGACAGGGACCGGACTTTGTTTATTAGCATCTTAATTAACTATTAGGTTTATTTAAAAGGTGTTTAATCGAATTTTGTATTATGAAATCAAATTATCGTGATTTTTTAATATCAAACAGATGCCACGACATTTTATGTAAAGAGAAGACCTTTTATAGTATATTTCGTTAGCGTTTATTTACTACGGACTTTTCTGCAAGAGATTACAGTAAAATGTTGAAATAGAATATATTGTTAATAGAGCAAAAAATGTTACTCATTGTCTACGAGTATTATAAAAATAGCATGTGCGCAGGCTAATACTGCAAATCTACCCTTATGAGTTAAACATTATATTTTTTCTACGGCTATTACATATTATTAAAAATTAGTCAAAATGAGAAAATGCTGTTTTGTATTGTAACCTCAGAAAAAGTATATTAAGGCTTCTTTCTTTAAGAATATTAATTATTATAAAGGATGAGTCACATAAAACTCTAGAAATGCATATGTCTAAAACCAGATAACATTTTAAAATTTAAATCTATTAAAAGTCATTTGGTCGCTAGGGATGAGTGATTATCGAAATAAATTATCGATAATTGAAAATAATCGATTATTTTCGCTCAATAGATTATTTTCAAACAATATATTTTTTGTCATTTCCTTTAAAATCGACTACTTGATTATCTTTGAAAAATCAAAAATAATCGATTAATTAAAAAGCCAATTAACCGATAAATCAGTGTTTACAAAATATAATATAAATAGAATTATCGTTTATTTTAAATAATCGATTATTTTCAAATAAACCATTTTTTTTTCGTCCATGGAAACAGATTATTCGATAATCTTTGAAAAATCGAAAATAATCGATTAATCAAAAATAATCAATTAATTAAAAAGTCGATTAACTGGTAAATCGATTAAAAAAAAAAAACAGAATGATCGATTATTTTAAATAATTGATTATTTTCGATCAATCGATTATTATCAATAATCTATTTTTATTGTATTTCCTTTAAAATCGTTAATTCGATTATCTTTGAAATACCGAAAATATTCGATAATTCCAAAATAATCGCCTAATCGAAAATAATCAATTAAGAAGCCGATTCTATGATAAATCGATTATTACCAATTATCTATTTTATTGTATTTCAAAAATATTCGATTAATTAAAAAGTCGATTAACTGACAAATCGATTTTCAAAAAAAAAACAGAATGATCGATTATTTTAAATAATCGATTATTTTAAATAATCGATTATTTTCGATCAATCGATTATTATCAATAATCTATTTTTATTGTATTTCCTTTAAAATCGATAATTCGATTATCTTTGAAATACCAAAAATAATCAATAATTCCAAAATAATTGCCTAATCGAAAATAACCAATTAATTAAGAAGCCGATTCTATGATAAATCGATTTTCCAAAAAATAAAACGAATTATCTATTATTTTCTAATAATCCTTTTTTCATATTTCCTTTGAAATTGATTATTAGATTATCGAAAATAATTGATTATTAAAAAGCTGATTATCCAATAAATCGATAATTTTAAAAAAATAACCAAAATATCGATTATGTAAAATAACCGATTATATTCAATCGATTATTTTCATATAATATCTTTAAAAAATCGAAAATAATCAAATAATTAAAAAACCGATTAAACGATAAATCGATTATTTTGAATAAATCTACTTTTTTTGTATTTCCTTTAAAATCGATTAATACATTATCTTAAAAAAAAACGAAAATAATTTATTAAAAACAGCGGATAAATCGATTTTCATTAAAAAATATCAGAATTATCGATAAATCGATTATTTTTGTAACCCCTATCGGTCGCTTGCTTTTATCTGAGCATTAAGCTCCAAAATTTAGAGATTCGGATTTTTTGATCCAGTTATCTTTGAAATCGCATTCGCTTGTATAATAAATAAATATTGCGAAATTTTGGATTTTTTTTAGTAAACGAAAATTATGTTCGAGTTGTTTAGGGGTTTGTAATGTAACATTTTATTAACGTGACTAAGGGTCGATTTCACCGTTGTGTTAAACGAAGTTTAAAATGACATTTTTACATTAACACTGTCATTTTAATCTCCGTTTAACACAACGGTGGAATCGGACCTAACTCCTGTAACTTTAGTATTTTTTTTTTGCTTATACTAGATTACTTTGTTTTAAGACTGAAAATTCAATGTAACTTTGATTTGACCGCAAATAAGATGAACCTTGAAATTTTAAGTAGCTCATCCTGTATTTCATCTAATATTCTTATAAAAATACCTTATAAAAATACCTTATAAAAATACCTTATAAAAATACCTTATAAAAATACCTTATAAAAATACCTTATAAAAATACCTTATAAAAATAAAATTTAGCTAGCAACTATGATTCTCTACCTCTTATTTATCTACCAAAAAGGGCTAAAAACTACCTTTAGAAAACATTCACTACTTTTTAAATACAAAATTTCGTTAGCAATAATGCCTATTTACTATTTATTTAATTTAAATGTTCAAAATTTTACCCTTTTGTAAATTTATGTAAGTAATATGAAATCTGATTTCTGATGCTTAATAT